TTTAACAGTTTAAAAATTTGGCTTCAAATTTTGAAGGAACTACAAATAAGAGTCAAGAAACCAACCCTGAATCTCAGTCCCTCTGTGACCTATGTAGGGACTGGAATAACCAACCTGAACCAAAGGTAATTTTGCACATGCTTCTGAGCTCCCTCTGTGAGTCTGTCTAACAGTGCACTTCTTTGCTACCAGTCTACCTTCACTATAAAGGGAATACCTTTAAACTCCCCATAGAGAGTCACCTATTTTTGAATCCCTCTTCATGTTTTAAATTTTAACATAGAATCAAACATGAACCTTAAAAAGCTGTGTAGTCAAACTATATTCTTTTGGTCCACATAAAAATTGCTTTAACATATTGATTTCCCTGTGAGTTGTATTTAACTCGGGCTAGTTTTGAGCCCAGGGCCCTGTGAAGCAAAACCCTGCAGTTGGTTTGTGAAAATCTTACTTGTTGATGTTCCTATTATTACAATTAATATTGACAATTTAATTCTGAAAATGTGGTTTATATGTGCTGCATATAAGTCACACACAGCAAACAATAAAAAGTAACAAATTAGAAAGGATTGTTTTGTTTTAATAAAACACCATGGCCCCAGGGAAAAAATTTTCTTTTCTAATGTAGTAAAGTGTTAATTGTGCTTTTTGTCATTTCGTTATCTGCTTCCATCGAAGAATGCATTGAAAAAACTGCCCTTGGAACTCAACATCATCTTTGTTGTAACAGTGGTTCCCCAAAGCTTGTCCATAGATTTGACTACATCAAAAGCACCTGAAGCTCTTGTCAAATGCATAGTTGCAAAGCTACCTTGGAACTGGGAGCCAGGGTTATGATTCTCCATGTTAACACCTAATGCTGTATGTTAACTTGCAGGTCCGGGCTCTTGGCAGACTGTTGTCCTTGTTCTTTGCCTCCTTGCTTGGAAATTCACAGGCAGGACTGGTGCAATGGAGTGACCACAGATAGGAAGCAATTCCACACAAATAGCTTTTATTGCAGAAAAGAAGGGACTATACAAAGTGAGAGTACATTCCAGAGAAGAATGGGTCAGTCTCAACAAGTGGAGAAAGACCTTCAAGACTCCCAGGTGGTTTCCTTTCATTGGCCTCGTGGGTGGGGGGAGGGCCTATGGGAGGTGTGGGATGTTACCCGATGATTGATATACATGATTGACAGGTATTCTTATAACAAAGTTGCACCTCCACAGGTGTGTGTGCCTCAAATCCTCTGCTCTTAGTAGTTGTTAGCTGCATTTTCCTGCAGTCTACCCCTGTCACCCCACTCTGGCTTCTCCGCCCCTAGGAACTGCCCTCCTGGCCTGTATCTGCCACCTGCTGACTTGGTCCCTGCCTAACATTGACAAGGGCGTCTTCTGTTGCATATTCCAATTGAAAATCAGTATAGCACATCACATATTGTCCCTTTATAAGAATCGTGAAGAATGTCTGTCATTTCAGTTCTAGGAATACCTGTCCTGAGCAAATCACCCCACTGCAACCACCACTACCACACACAGTACTTAGAGACACAATGAATTTTGTAGATGATCATCTTTTTCCTTTTTAATTCAGCTATCAGGAAAGTCAGACCCAAATTTCCCACCTGTTGATATTTGAAGTGCTAGTCTTAGACTAAGCTCTTTTTGCTTTCACCCCAATTACTTCAAATTATTTTAATCTGCTTTTTATCTATCACCTCAAAAACTTTTTGCAACAAGCAGGTATAAATAAGTTAACAAGCAAGGTCTTTAACAGTCTAAAACAAAGATCCTAGAGTCAAAAAACCAGAAGCTCATTTATCCAGTCTGTTGCTTTTGCTCCCTTGAGTGTGTTATGGCATCAGGTCCCCGGGGGACAGCTGTACATCATCCGTGCCTGAAGAGCAGAAATGCACACTGGCTATTTCTCAGTTTATTAGCCATGATATTAATTATGGAAATGCCATCAAGTTATATCTGAAACACCCCTTGAGTTTCAGAAGAAAATGAAGCCCAGAAATACCAGCTAATTAGCTCAAAATTATTCCAAGAGTGAGAAAGCTGGGATAAGAAGGCAGGCCTCCTGATTTTTTACCTGGTCTTTTTCTTACCACAGCAAACCCACACCACCCACCAATTTGCTAATTTCTAGGGCTCATTCAACGAGGATCTTTGCCTCTCATTCCAAGTGGTCAATGTGCTCTAGAATAGATGACCCAAGACTTAAGCACTAGGAAGACACTCAGTCCTCTGCTTCCTGGGGTTAGTTCATGGAAGTAGTTGGGAGCAGAGAGACCTTACAGTGACCAGGTGTTAAATAGCCCAATAGTTTACAAGCCTTTGTCTCATCACCTACTGGGTTAGTCTGGCCCTCCTCTGTGCTATTTCCTAAAATTCCAGCCTCTCCTATTCTTTCAATGGGAGCCTCTCTTAGAGATATGAGAATCCTCATATTTCTGTGGAGAAGCTCACTATGATATTAACAATGTCAAAGAGAAGACATTCTTTGAAGAACATACTATTGATGGGATTTTTTTCCCTTAAGGAACTTGAAAGGTTTGGTGTGAGAAACCCAGGTTTTGGAATCATTTATACTTTGGGGTTCCCAGGGACCAAAGTGTATGCAAAATCACAACACCCAGAGGACAATTTATTTATATGTCGATCAACAATATGTAGATGTCCTAAAATTGGTTGTGGTTATATATTGCAATACTTTCTAATCTATTACTCATTCAATGACTAACGAAATTATAAAATACAGTCAGAGACCTGATTCCTTTTGAGTCAGTCTGCTCCCATTCTGTCTCATTTGTTCATTTTCTATCTACACAGCCCACCCCCAATACACGCACTCTTTTAGCAACTCAGTCACTGAAAGTTGCAGCAGTTTGGAGGTCAAAGTCTCTACATTTCCAGGTTGTAAGTTTTCTAAACTAACTAAAACCAGTCTGAAATCACTTAGTTTTCCATAAATCTCATTTTCCTTTTTCCAAGCAACATTTTATCTGATTCATTAAGGGTGGGTGGAGGTGAGGAGAAGTGCTTGGGTTGATGCCTAGATAGTGCAAGAAGTAAACCAACCAACAAATCAAATTAAAGGTAACTTTTATTGGTAGCAGTTGTCCAACTAGTTGGATTTAGTTGTGGGTTCTAGAATGTATGCGACTGAATATAGGCCAACCCTAGGGTTCCTGGTATGCTCCTTTGATCACATTTTGGGCTGTGGTGTGGAAACCAGTTCTTGAGCCTTAAGGGAAATATTGGAAATGTGATCAAGTTAGGCAAGTTACCTTACTTCTCAGAACCTGGGTTTCACTATCTGCTTGTTTCTTTCCTTTCAAGTTTGTAGTGAGAATTAGAAATAATACGTGTGAATTACTTAACATAGTGCCTGGTATATAATAGGAAATTATTATTATTATTATTATTATCATCATTAATAATAATAACACAGGGCTCTTGTTTTACCATGCTAATAAAAAATTTTCACTGGTTTTATAGCACAATTAGAACAATTATAATAACTAGAAATGACTTTTCATATCATTATACAAGCAACATCTTTGTTTTCTCTGAAATTCCCTAGGAATCCTCGAAGAATTCCACAATGTTTAGACTCTGTACTTTTTGGGAAAATTATGCATTGATAATATAGCATATTGACACTATTTTTTCAATATTATCATGTTTCATATCTGCTCAAATTAATGTTATCTTGATTGACACCTTTAATGGAAGCAAATGTAGGAGCAGGAGCCAATGGATACATTGATCTGAGAATTTCTCATTAGCAAAATTTAGTTTTGATGTCTTTTAGTTTAACACACTTTGAGACATGTCAAGTTTTTCTTCTTCCTTTCCAGTTGTGCATGGTCAGTTATCGACCTCCCCCCTGGCATTTGGTGTAAAGCAACATGTGTCACCAGAAAGGTCTTTTGACATGAGTCCTGAGTAAGTTCTAACACTGCATCTGCTCCCTTCCTCCACATGAATTGGCACAATGGGAAGACCAGTGTGAATGATTGCAAGTTGCCTATCTGACAATCTAGGGAATTGACACAATTGCAACAAAATGAAAGAAAAATTCTGTCTATATTTTTATGAGTGAATTGTAGTATCTATAAAGATGAAGATAATTACACACATTTCTTTAAATTCTCTTGAGACTAAGAAAGCCATAACAACAACAAAAAGGATTGTAAAAATGCATTATTTTTTTTCCTCCTGGATCATCTAGTATTCAAAGACAAAATACTGATAATACACATTGCAATATTCTGTGATTCACTTATTTGAATATATTTCCAGAAATTGATGTCTCTGAAATCAAAAGTGCTTAACAGGAACTATAAATGTTAACTAATATTAGGTTATTATATTAGTCAGCTCATGCTGCCATAATAATAGAATCAGTGGCTTAAACAATAGAAATTTATTTTCTCACATCTATGGAGGCTGGGAAGTCCAAGATCAAGGTGCCAGCTGATTCAGTTCCTTGTGGTGTTCTTCCTGGCCTGCAGGTGGCCGCCTTCTCACTGTGTTCTCAGAATGCCACCGATCCTATCTGATTAGGGCTCTACTCTCATGACCTCATTTAAGCTTAACTACCTCCTAAAAGCCCTATCTCCAAACAAAGTCATGTTGGGGATTATGGCTTCAACATATGAATTTTGGGAGGGCACAGTTCATTCCAAAGTATATTTGGAAAGTATATTTTTAACATAAAAATTGAAAAGGAATGACAAGCACAGTCAGGGAAGGAAGAGGTATTTGCAGGGTGTGAAGAGTAAATATTGGTGTCTCAGGTTTTTAGTTACTGAAGAAGGGGCTGCCCTTAAGTTTATTGACTTAAGTTTTAGTATGACAACCAACCATTACATGAGAAGCATTTCCTGGCAAGCTGTCCCATGGAAAGGTGTGAACTAGCATCCTTCTCCCAAGTTTCCACAGAATTCTCAGCTAACTGGCATTGTTATAGCAACCGGAGTGCTAATGGAAGCAGTCATGGTCTTCGTAATCAACTATCACTATGGCAACAGGAGCCTCTGGAAAGTAAAAGAAAAAAAAAATCCCAAACTGTCAACTGGAATCAAAGAGGTTTGCAAGGGAAAAAAGGTGGAGGCTGAAATGAACATGAGGCTGGAGCAAGGGCCAGAGCAAAGAGAAATGATCGTACAGAAGCTGAACAAACAAGAGAGAAAGGAAACAATAAGCAAAACAGAGGGCAGAGACGTGGCTCGCATAGGAAAGAGGAAGGCAGGAAGGAGCAAACATAAAAGTCACGAACATGTTCAAATGGGAAAGATTTATGGTATTTATTGATTTTAGTAGCCCAGAGGTAGATAAACATAGGATGTAAAGTTTATATTAGAACTATCCAGTGTGCTAAATATAAATACTGAAGAAACATTTAGAATGAGGCCACAGATAATAAGAAAGGGTAAAACAATTTGACGAGTGCTTTTGGCATAGCATCCTGCTGACTAGGAATTCTTGCAATATTTGGTGTTCAGAGGCACCACATTTGAATGTGAATCTTCCCTTATTGGACAGTGCGACTGCTTCACACAAGGGCATGTTGCCATTGGGTCCATTACAAATATATATTTTCTTAATTAAAGGATCTTAATGGATTATTTTTCCATTGGAGAATTAAGAGAATTACTCTAATACTGTTGAAAAGTAAGTGGCAATATCATTTGGAATAAAACATTTCACTTAATATTTTCTATTTTATTAGTGGTCAGACAGGATTGAAGTTTTTATGGCCCAATATTAATTTTTTGTGAAGGGAAAATATATACTTTATTAAAAGGTGCCGCTAAAATGTTGCTACTTTTGTTTTGGAATTAGGAAATGATTTTCAGAAATAAGAGATTAAAGAGGGAATGACTATAGAGACAGGGAAAGAAGTAATAGGTACAGTTATAAAGATATAAATCAAAAGAAAAATAACAAAAACTTGAGATTAAACCATCAAAATAAAACCAGTAGTCTAGGTGCTTTGCAGAAATCTGGTCCCAAGAATTTTAATGGGATTTTTTTTTTTTTTTAATGACAGCCATTTCTTGTAAGCACTGTATTTTAGGTGCCATTTAGTAACTTGGCAAGGGATGGCTTGGGTTTGTGGTCATTATCTCTTCTGCTCAGAATAAGTCAGTTGGTTGACAGCAGGGATGAGCAAATCTCTTCAGGAAGGCCAGAGGCCTTGCTAACCTTCTGCCAGAAGTCCAGACCAAGCCACAGACTGCATCCCAGGACCATTATCCAGCTGACCTTCGGGATCCACCCCACAAGCTTGCATGCCAACAATGGTAATGCCTCTTGCTCAAAGTTCATGATCCAGAAACCAGTGCAAAGCTTTTTAGAGGATAAGTCTCATTCTCAAATAAGGTTATGTTTTACTTTTGAATATTTTTAGCTATATTTTCAATTTTTTTTCTATTTCTCTACGAACACACACACACACACACACACACACACACACACACACACACACCAAGCATCATTATTTATAAAATATGCATAAAATTCAATGGAATACATAAATAAAAGAGCCAAAATTCCCATTGCTCTAGATTTATGAGAAATGAAATAAAAAAATCAAAGGAACATGTGAATATAAGTCAAATTAAGTATTGTGTATTTAAAAAGTAAACTTTTTTGAAATATGATGTATAAACATACAAGTGCATAAATTATAAATTTGCTACTTAATGAATTGCCGCATAGTGAACACACCTGCTTAATCACCACCCAGATCATGATATGGCACATTATATTATGGCTTGTTGGTGGTTTTCTATAGTATATGAAAAAAGTCTGACATATTTTGCAATCACATCCATTTACATTGTAAGACAGATAAGCAAAATGCAAATATCGCACTAAGAATTTTGAACTGTTAAGAATGTGCAGAGAGAGACCCCTGCTGGAACATTTAAAAAAAATAAGACTGTCTCTAAACCAACTCAGATAAACTGTATGTTAAGAAGAAATAGCTATGCCTCTGCAGGCTTTCAGGTAAAATTTCTGAATGCATTTTACCCCAAGATATAGGACATGTTTAACCTCTGCTACAGAAAAATTTGTACAGCAGGGGAGGTTTTGGGGGTTTTCCTTGATATTAACTTCTGAGCTTATTTTCTTCTGATCCCCAAGCTTGAGTAACACAAGGGTCTAACTTCAATGTGCATGTCTTGTGATCCCTCTCTCTTTGCTCCTTGCTGGGCTGATCCCTCCACTTAACAAATGTACTCCTGGGGACCTTTGCTCATAGGGGGTCCCATGGCCACTCTTCAGCTTTTCTTTGGCACTGGTGTCTAGCTCAGCTGTTCCTCCAAACTGTATGAGACACACTGTCTGTGGAGGTGGCACACAAGTGACCCCAAAGTGCACACCTGAGTTTCATAGTCAGATGGATCCATATCATTTATAATTTCTCCACCATAATATTTGATGTATTCTAGAGTTCAGTACTGCATACTCGCTCTTTACGGGGGCTTCTGGGTGATATATTTTGGGTCTATGGTTGCCAGTAATGAAGATTGGATTGTCAGCAGTCCCTCGTGCTGAGGAGTGCCAGCTGAGATGGCAAGCCAAGAGAATCTGGAATTGGGGTAATAAATGGGCAGGATGTTGTCCAGCCTGAAGTAGGAAGGTGAAGGCTGGAGCAATTCCCTGTTCCAACTCCCAGGCCCTTGTGAATGCTTTACCAGGGGTTCTGTGGTCTGAAAATGTGGCGTGCCCCAAGGGATTCAGGTGTACAGGACATGGGAATGATGACAATTTTAGAACCTACACTGCTCTAATCCTACCTAAAGCACCACCCCACCCCCACTCAATATATATCCTCTTTCTGCATTTCCTCTCTCAGCAACAAACTGCAGAAAACTCTCCCACCCTCTCCCCAAAGCCAGGATGCCACCGTGCTCACATCTCTCTTCCTTCACCTGAACCACTCTCAAACAGTTGCCAAGTTCTACTGATCCCTAATTCCTAACAGGTTCTGTATCCACTCATTTCAGCTTATATACTGCTCTGGAGCTGCCTAGTGAACACTTAATTCTTCACCTGGACCCCATGACAGTTTAAGACTTGCTGCCTCCAATTTATCAATGTTTCAAATGCCAGGAATAAAATCATAGTTTTTATTATTAAACTATTTCATCCCAGTCTTCAGTTCTTTTGCGGTCAAAACTTCTTGTTATAACATAAAAGGCCCTTCCTCATCTAGATACTCCTTGGGGTTCTAGTTCTATCTCTTGGTAGACATTTCTTTACTTCTATACTCTGACATTCCTAGCTGGTTGGGGTTTTCTGATGACATCTTCGCATATCTTCTAGCAGGACTATCTTTTGTCTATTACTTACCATGCCACCAGCTTGTAACCATCTCCTTTTTGAAGCTTTTATAATCCTCCCCCTCCAACCCTAGTTGAAAAGAACCATTTCCTTCTTCATGCCATGACTATAAGCTGTACACACTTTTATGGTCACCCCTTTGCCACTTTATTCAACCTATTTATTTAGTTGCCACTTTCTCCAAGTTGGAAGGTAAATCTGCACCACATTTGTTTCTGGTTGACAGTTTTAGTGCTTAGCCCAGCACCTGACTCCTACAAGGAACTCCTTAAATATTTAAGGGTGTAGTAAGGGGCTTCAAGATTGAACTTAGCGATTCTGAAGGAGCAATTGCTACAAATGTAGACAATTTGCTATTTTAGCTAAGATGCAGACTAAATTTATCTTGGGAAAATATATTAATGGGATTTTTGTTATGCAAAGGTAAGGAAATTATTTTCAGCATGTCCAAGTCAGGACACAGAAAAGCTAAACTGAGCTGCCTCCACAAGTGCAGTAGAGTGTCTTCATTTTGGTCAGAATGGCATTGTTGCAGGGATTATCATGACATTCAAGGGACATCAGGCTGGAGATAGGTTGGGATAAAGAGATAATGTTCCCCTCCCTTGTGACATGGTGAGAGGTACTTACAGGTGTGAGTAGTAGGCTGACCTGTAACACACGGCATCTACTAAGGCTGGAGAAAGAGAAGAGCAGCAAAACTGCCCAAGGGAAGGAATGAACATTGATGTATAAAGAGCTTTCCTTTTCCTTTTTTGTGTTTTAAATCCCTTCCGTAAGGCCCAAGCCTTCAGTTGTATTAAGCACTCTACCATGGATTTTGTTGAGCTTTGGGGAAATACATGAATGGACTTGTCTACTCTGAGGACAAAGAAGATTAGAAGCAGTCAGGGCATCTCATGATGTCCACTCACCTGGGCTGGATGAGTGACAGACAGAGCTGCTTATAGCTCTTACAGCATCCTTATAAAAACAAGAAAAAGAGCCCATTCCTCGGTATCTCCACTTACTTCCACCAGGATATGGATTTACTATATTAGTTTGTTAAAATAAAACTTTCCACTCTCATATGCCAGAAAAATTGTTATAATGTATATCCATGATGTCTATAATGGAAATAGTGCCCCCTATAGGTGGTGCCCTTGCATGTTAGAGAACCCGCATGATTGTTCACAGGATCTGGTGTTAATGAGAGAGACAGAATGCAATACATTAGCATGCCTTGGAAAATCCCCAGCAGTATTTCAGAATGAGAACCTGCTAATCTGGACAGGTGAGGGCAGATCAAAGAGAACATAATCTGTTTGCATGAGTGAATGATGTCTTTAAACAATCACACAAAGTGTACATTTTCACCAGACTATGCTGCAAAATAGATGACTTTAGCTATAGTCCAGGGCACCTACAGTTACAGGAAAGTCCCCTTTGAAGCCAGTCCAAGACTTTCCCCCAGATACTTCTTATTATGAAAAAAGAAAGGCTGAGATGTCTGGTCACCTTGTTCAAATCCAAAGAATTTGATTCCTGCTGACTCTGACTTAATCTTCTTCTACCTTGAAAGATATAAGATGTCCAGCATTTTCTTTTTATACCTGAAACTATGTATTCTTACTTTGCAGGCAGCAAAGAACTGGAACGCTAACCCAGACAGGAGACTGAGCCAGGGCTAAGTGCTAAATGTGAGAGTTGGCTTGTTGGCTTGTGGACTATAAAACACAGAGGAGAATTGAATTTCATATTCAGGGATGGGGAGGCTAGGAAAAATGGGGAAATATGGAACATTTGGCCTAATGGGGAAGATGGGAGGAAAAACACATCAAGGAGCAAAGGGTCTACAACAGAGACTGATTTGGCAGGTTAGGAGATGGAAGTAGAGGAAATTCCCTGGGGTAATTCTGTACAGAGGGAGAGACCTCACATGGAGAAACCCACGGGCAGGAAGGGAGCTGCCAAGGCCAAGCTGGTTCAGAGGTGCATTTGTTCAGAATCCAAACATTCTTCCTATTTGGGGTTAATCCAAGCAGATGACTAGAGGCAGGACTCCGCCTGTCACCATAGCATCATGAGTGAGGCAGATGTTCCTTTTCCCAGTTCCCTGGCAGCAAAGACATGGCATGTAGCCCAGTATCAGCCAACTGACTGCTCCAGGCTGGAAATTTAAAATTTAAGGGTGTGACACTGACAGGTTTCCTAGGAAACAAAGCCTGGGAAAAAAACTTAAATGCCAAGTTTTTATTGAGGAGGCATAATCCCAGGAAACCAAGGGTGAAGGGGGGAGGGAAGTAAGGCAGAGCAGGAGGGAAAGAAAATGCAAAGGGGTGCATTACTAAGCTGCCCACAGCTCTCAAGAAGACACAATTAGTGGCTGAGTTATGTGAGACCTGTCTGTAGCAGGTGCACGGAACCTGTCTTAGGGGCAGCTTCTGGGCAAGGCTTTGTGTAGGTGCAGACAGTTTGGACTAGCCCTCAGGCTGCTCTGGCTTCTACCACAGTGGCAAGATACTGACCATGCAAAACCCAACCCCATCGTAGGAGAGACTCAGAAAGTAGCAAACTGATAAAGCAGGAAACTGGTAAAATAGGAGATGTCATTAAGTTTGCTGCAGAGCTTTTAGCACCACAGAAACAGCATGAACCAACTCTGGGACGGTCTGCCTGGAAAGCCAGGCAAGTGGCCCAGGCCTGAGGGCATGAGGGCCCAGAAGCTCTGAGGTGGAACAGAAACTGGATCTGGCACCAATAGATAATCAAGGAAACCCCTGAAGATTATTTGACGCAGCTGGTATCCTAAGGCAACCATGCCAACAGTGACATCATAACAAGTGTCCCCATAGCTGGGGGGAATTGAAAATGGGCAATCATTTTTGAGCTTTCTGTGGATTCTGCAAATGACTAGATTTCTTTCCAATAAACCAGCTTTCCACTTAAGTAACTAGAATGGAATTTTCTT